TCAGAGGCAAGATAATATACTTGAGAAAGGATTAATAGACTGACTGACGATAAGAAATTCAGAAACTGTGCCTCGAGGTCACCAAAGCTACTTTGTATTTCCCTTCCCTTCAGCTCTTGTGAAATGATTGGGTTGTATCCGCAGCAATTTTAAACAACAGTAAACAAAGTTCATCCTTTAAAACCAAATCCTAGAAAGTAAGCTAATGAGAGAATAAACAAAGAAGGCTTCTGTCCCTACATATAAGAACTAGCTTCTCTTTATCAGGAGTGGTTTAAATGAAAATAGAGGAAAATTGTTTAATAGGAAATATTGAAAAGTGCTACTTTTAATCTTTTATAAACTTTAATTTTTAGTGTGGTATAATTGACATATAACATTATTTTAGTTTTGGCTGTACAACATAATGATTCAATATAAGACTATATTGTGAAATCATCAACAAAATTTTTCATTTTCTGTGATGAGATCTTTTAAGATCCACTCTCTTAGCAACTTTCCAATCTACAATAGAATATTATTAACTACAGTGACCATGCTATACATTACATTCCCCAGGACTTATTTATTTATTTATTTTTAAAATATATTTCTTTATTGATTTCTGAGAGGAAGGGAGAGGGAGAGAGAGATAGAAACATCAATGATGAGAATCATTGATTGGCTGCCTCCTGCACACCCCACACTGGGGATGGAGCCCCCAACCCAGGCATGTGCCCTTGGCCGGAATCGAACCTGGGACCCTTCAGTCCGCAGGCTGATGCTCTATCCACTGAGCCAAGCCGGCTGGGGCCTTATTTATTTTATAACTGGAATTCTTTACCTTTTGACCACCTTTACCCATTTCGCCCACCCCCACCTCATGCAACCACCAGTCTGTTCTCTTTATCAGTTCATTTATTTTTTATTTTTTAGGTTCCATATAAGATCGTATATTATCTGTATGACTTATTTCACTTTTCATAATGCCCTTAAGGGTCCATCATGTGGTCATAGATGGTAAGATTTCCTTCTTTATTTGACTTAAATATATTTTTATTGATTTCAGAGAGGAAGGGAGAGATAGAAACATCAGTGAAAGAGAATCGTTGATTGGCTGCCTCCTGCACGCCCTCTACTGGGGATTGGGCCAGCAACCAGGGCATGTGCTCTAACCAGGAATCAAACCTGTGACCTCCTATTTCATAGGTCAACACTCAACCACTGAGCATGGCCGGCCAAGATTTTCTTATTTTTGATGATGGAATAATATATATATAATTATATCTCCCACATTTTCTTTATCCACTCACCCATTCAGGAACACTTAGGTCATCCCATGCCTTGGGCATTTTAAATAATGTTGCAATGAACATGAGGGTGCAGGTATCTTTTCGAGTTAAGTTTTTTTAATTTCCTTCAGATAAATACCAATAAGTGGAATTACTTGATCATATGGTAGTTCTTTTAATTTTTTTTGCAAAACTTCCATACCGTTACCAACAGTGCACAAAGGTTCCCTTTTCTCCACATCCTTGCAACACTTATTTTTCATCTTTTTGATAAAAGCCATTCTAACAGGTATGGGGTAGTATCTCATTGTGGTTTTGATTTGCATTGTCTTTGAAAAAAGAACATTTATTCAGATCCTCTTTCCATTTTTTAATCAGATTGTGTGTGTGTGTGTGTGTGTGTGTGTGTGTGTGTGTTTTACTACTGAGTTATATGAGTTCTTTATATATTTTGGATATTAACCCCTTCTCTGGTATATGAGACGTGCACATATTTTCTTCCATTCCATAGGTTGCCTTTTCGTTTTGTGGCTGGTTTCTTTTGCTGCACAGAAGCTTGTCAGTTTGATGTAGTCCCACTCATTTTTGCTTTTGTTGCCTTTGTTTTTGGTTGGTGTCAAATCCAAAGTATCATCACCAAGACCGATGTCAGGGAGATCACCTCATATGTTTCTTCTAGTTTTATGATTTCAGGTCTTACGTTCAAATCATTAATCCACTTTGAGCTAATTTTTGTGTGTGATGCAAGAAAGCGATCCAGTTTCTTTCTTTTGCGTGCGTGTGGCTGTCCAGTTTTCTCAAAACCAGTTGTTGAAGAGATTATCCTTTTCCCATCGTACATTCTCAGCTCTTCTGTCACAAATAAATTGACCATGTGTGCATAGGTTTACTTCTGGGTTCTCTATTCTGTTCCATTCACCTGAGTGCCTATAAAAGTGCTATACATTTTAGCGATTTTATAGTGTGAGTTCTACAATACTTTCCCTGAGAATCAGCTAATAGTTTGATTTCTTGACATTTTTCTGTTCCTTGCTAAACTCTCAGCAATTCCCTGATGCTGTGATTGTGAGGAATTTTATTGATAATGAGAAGAAAGATCTTGTATTAGAAGAAATGTATTTTATTTTTTAAAATATATTTTATTGATTTTTTACAGAGAGAAAGGGAGAGGGAAAGAGAGTTTGAAACATCGATAAGAGAGAAACATTGATCAGCGGCCTCCTGCACAGCCCTCCTGGGGATGTGCCCGAAACCAAGGCACATGCCCTTGACCAGAATCGAACCCGGGACCCTTCAGTCTGCAAGCTGATGCTCTATCCACTGAGCCAAACCGGTTAGGGCAGAAGAAATGTATTTTAGTGAATTACTTTGAAGGTTGAAGACAAATACTTAAATGTCATCTCTTAAAAATCTCTTATTGTGTACTGTGCAGGTGTTACTATTTTACCGTCTTTATGCATCATTGTATACACCCAGGAATTATACATTTCAGGAATACAGTTGGACAATGGCAATAGTAGTCCATTTGGATTAACAACTTCTTTAGGATATTCCAGTCCTGCCAAGTTATTTTTCCTTCTACCAGGAGTAATATATGCATTAATATTTCCAGAATAGTGGACATTTCTAGCATATTGCTGTTTGGTCCCTGGTGTTGGCAGTCTTAATTATTTTCAACCCTGAGTGCCAGCCTACTAAGGGACAGGAAACTCTGGTTCTGGGGAACTTGGGCAAATGCACATGTGATATCTTTTACAAAAAGTGTCATTTCCTTTTTCTTGAAATTAGCACATCCCATCTTCCTGAGGACTGGTAAAGGAAAAAGCGCTCTTGAACCCTCCGGGATTAGACAATTCACACACAGACTCCCACATTCACAGACTGGCATCCTCCCTCTCTGGCTTACTTTCTGACTTTCAAATTTGCATCCCAGGGCGGATAAGTGTAAGTGTAGGTTGAAGTGTCAGCTTTGCGGGGCTGGAAGCATCTCTGGCAGAAAGCGTGCATAAGTGATTGAGAAATCCCTCTTAGGACTGGTGCTTCCCCCCTGGGGCCAGGACTCTCCTCTGGCATTCGCCCCCACCCCCCATATCTCTAACCCCTCCCCCAATCGGGCAGTCCGAGCGCCAAAGTCCCCGCCCCCTCTGGCTGCCAGGAGTGGTTCTTAACCTTTTTTGGGTCGGGACCTACCGAAAGCCATGGGCCCTCTCAGAATGGGACGAGAGTCTAGGGAAATCACAGCTAGAAAGTTTTTCGACACTTTCAGGAGGCCAAGGACTTGAAACACACCCCCGCAACTGTAAGATTAGGAACCCCATCCCTAAAATTCCTCACTTAGATTAGATAACAAATCTCGTCCCCAGAGAGACTAAGAAGGGAAGGCGCTTCTGCCCTGGGCCACTTTCACTTGTAAGAAACCAAAAAGAAAGGGTTTGGAGAAGAGAAGAGGAAGGAGGAGACCGGGGAGGAGAGAAGAGGAAGAGGACTGTAGCCAAAAGATGGGAACAGGCGAGAGATAGAGAGAAGAGGAAAGCGAGAAATACGGGGAATTAGAGGGGCGCAGTGGGAGGAGGAGGAGAGACCACGGAGGGGGTGGGGTGAAGGAAGGCCGATTCCGAGCGGCCTGGAGAGCGAGCGCGGAAGAGAGAGGAGTTTGGAAAGGGAAGGAAAGCAGGGAGGCGAGAGGGCAGAGGAAACGAGAGACCGAGAGACCCGGAGAGGGACTGCGAGCGCCTGGAAAGAGAGCCCGCAATCAGCTCTCTCCCCCGGGGCGGGGAGTCCCAGAAAAGCTCATCTCCACGAGGCGGCCAAGACCGCGACCCGCAGCCTCCGCGCTCCCGGCGCCTCTGCCTGCCGCCTCC